TCGACTATCTGACGTCTACTTCTCTGGAATTACGGTTGCAATTACGGAAGCCCCCTGGCAATAAACTAAAAACTTGCAAAGTTCAAGGAACTATGGCAACCCCTGTGATTTTATAGAAGGGTTGCGCCAAACAACCTTCAAGGTTGCATCACTTCTGGGCGTTGTCATGACCAGAGAACGTGGGTGCATGCAGCTGCGCAAGCTGCTGATAATACTTGATACTATATAGCTCTAAACCGCTATAAACGCAGATCTCCCCATAAAGATTTCCACCTGGCAATTATAATATACATAATATATATTTTTCAGCGTCTGCCTTACGCATCTTCAATAAATTTGATCTCTGACATGCAATTTTTATTTCAAGGAATTCAAAATAAAATATTATTGTGTGGCTAACAAATCAATTTTTGGAAAAGCTTTTAAAGTGCTTTGAGAGTTTCTGGAAACAATAAATCTATGTTTTATAGAGTTTTGACTATTTTGCATATGATGCCTAGTCATTAAGGGGTTATAGGAACTTAAGCTTTTCAAAGTATCTACAAATATGTACATATGTTCTTGTATGTTCTAAAAAACCCAGTTTTTGTTCTTAATGTTGGGCCATTTTTTAAAAATTACATTATTCTATTTATTAAAAGAATTTCTCAATTTTTTGTTTTATTTTGCATATTTTAAGTCGAGATAACCGTAAAGCACCTTTTTCCAGCAACGTTCCTTACATTGTCTAAAAGTGAAATATTTTTACTATTACCTTGTAACCCCTCTTTACTGTTGCCTCTAACCCCTTAAAGAAAAAATAATATTCTTCAAAGAGATAGTATTTAAAAGGTAATATGATTTTAAACCAAAATCCTTTCAAAAAACCTCAAACCTACATTCATGCATGATTTTATGAGAATACCCCTGAATATTTAAAAATACCTGGTACCTAATAACATAAAAATCTTTATAAGAGGGGCAATTATCATAAGACTTGTACTGATATCTGCTGATTCACTTTTTATTGTCCTACCCATGCCACTTTTTTTTTTTTGCTAATTGCCTTTGTCGCATGTGGGCACAGTATGTACAGTTATTGCTTCAGATTCGAATTCGGATTCGGTTTCGATTTCGAATGTTTTCCTTTCCTTTGGCGATCCGATTTAAAAGTTGAGTATCCGCCGTGTGTGCTATCAGTGGCTGGTGGGGGCTTCGCTGCCATTAGGCACGTTATTGAGTCTCTGCTGCGGCGCTGCTCCCGCGATAAGAGTCTATATAAAACTCGATTGGGGGGTTGTAATTGTGTGAGCCGGTGAGTGGGTGTGGGGGCGACGGGGTTGCGGGGATTAAAAATTACACACTTATGTGGGCTAATGCTAGTCGTTTGCGTTGTCGTTGAAACAAAACAACCATTAAGGTCTTTGTTAAATTGCTATTTTCGATTATACATATACATATGTATGAATATTATCCGTGTATTTGTTTAAAAATGGAATTTCAAGATTTTCTAGATTTCGATGAGACTTCCTTAATCCCAGTTCGTACTAAATCGTTTTATAACATTGATTAAATATAATCATAGCTATTTTTATAGTGACCCCATTAACTACATATTCATTAAGTTTCAATAAAAGCTTACAAGATTCTTGAGGACAATCTTTATTGTTTAAGGAAAGACTTACATAGTTCTGAAGGCTTCTTTATCGAAAATTTTACATGTTTCTCATAAGGTTAATCGATTTTGAAAACAGAGACTGTGTAGTTTCGTTTTATGGCACGTTTAATAATCATAAAACTCTGTGTGTACTCTTATCATATTCCCTTGTTTGCTTTGTGACTAATGGTTGACTAATAAGTTGCAGAAATCGAACACGTCAGTCTCATTATACGGGAATAATGATTTAAAATTTTATTCAATTTTTCGCGGCTCATAAACACGAAATATAGGCTTCATTAAGAATTATATAATAATATGTTTTTTTTTTTTTTAAATATATATAAATGCGGTAAACAAAAACATTGTATCTAAAAATACCATTTTGCGTAGTTCCATACATAAAGATACTATATATTTGTATAGTCTACATCAGCGATAAATATATACAATTATAAGACTTTCTTTTTAAGTAAAAAGTTGGTTAAAATTAAGAGTTTTTATTTTTCAGACAAAAATATAAATCACCTTCTTAAATTAAAAACAGAGATGTGAAAAAAAGAATATCTGATGGTTCAGCTGTATCCATCAATACGAGAATTAACGTCGAAACGAGAAATACTCGAGAGTCTCTCACTTCGGTTAGGCGCTCTTTGGATCTATTTATTTATACTTTTGGGAGGTTTTTTGGGGGCTCGTCGCCCGCTGACCGGGGCTTCAGTGTTCGGCAAATTAATTAAGCAAATTAAGTACAAAAGACACCAAGTGTAGATAAAAATATCCAAGAATATATACGAGGTATACATAAACACATAAGTTTTTTATGGTCTCTTGGGGGATTCTCAGGTGGTACACTTGTTGCTGCTTATCAGGACACATCGTAAACTTGAAATATATGTACATATATGTATATGTATGTATAAACATTTATAGGTATATTTGTTGATTACTGTTTTGCTCTTGTATTTTATCAACAATCATAAACTATTTGCGGCACATCGCACAACAAAATCCGCCAAATATTTTGAGCGAATTGAGAATCCGATATTTCCTAATCTCAGATTACGATTTGCCCACTTCAGCGCGGGCATTGGAAGAAGCAACAACATTTTTGCAATACTAACGATGACCAAGCGTAAAAAACTGAACTCTAACGATGACTTGGCTAAAATAGAAAAAACCTATACCGGGGCCTGTTTTGCCACCCGGCTCGAGAGCGAATGAGACGGACGAAGGTGCGACAGAGACGGCGTACCAACGGCGAGAAAGTTTTATGCGCCAAATTATAAACTAGTATAGTTTTAAGTTTTAAACTTCACTATGGCTTTGGGAAAAAAAAATACAAAATGCATAGTTCACTTTGTAAAAATAATTAAGAATCAAAGAAACACCTGAGTGGAATTTTAAGGGAGAAACCTGAGTTTATAGTTAAACTCGGAATCGGATTCTTAAACTGTTAGGATATCAGGTGAACTTCAGGTGTCTGAGGTATCCATTGAAGTGCTGCCCTAGAGGTGATTAATAGTCTGGGAATCCATAAACAAGTGTGTTAATTGCGATCATGAAGGGTCAATTTAGATTCTAAGTGTTGAAAAGAAAATTAACTTAAATACTAAAATAATAATAACTAAAATAATAAAAAAAAAAGAAAAAAAGCAAATTTATAAATGCAGAAATATTTTAAATTAAACAGTAACATTTTGGTTAACTAAACTTTTAGTTAATTCTATTCCATATTTTCCATTCCTTATTACAATAACGTATCTACATACATATATACGAAGAAATTAAAGAAATCGCAAGAGTATACAGAAATTACCCACTGTGCTAGCATTTTGATTGTTTTTTATTAAAAATAACTACTATTTACCTCATCTTCTTCTTCCTCTGCTTTTTACTAGTATTTCTAGTTTCTCTCTTTCTCCGTCGCCCCAAAAGACTTTTTTTATTATTATTTCCCCACTCATACACACACAGGCCCCTATAACGATCTCCAAATTAAAGCCGGCTTTTTTTCTCCGCATTTTATTTATTTGTTTATTCGTCGCCGTTGTTGTTGGCTCCCAAACGAATTTCAATCCCCACTGTGTGCCACTGTTGTTTGGCTGTGTTTGTGAGAGCTCCAAGTCTGGTTTCGAGCGGTCTCTCTCGGGAGAGTCGTATGCAAACACAGTTGAATTGATTTAAGCGTCGATTAACGCACACTCTCTCAGCAAAAGAGACAACATACGATGTGTGGCGGGCAGCGACGTCGACGGCCCCACCATGGGGCCAAGAACTACTTTTGTAAGCCTTACGACATTTTTAAAAAATCCCCTCAGTATAGTTTGTGTAATAATATTTATATAAAATATATAAACTTGTATAATATTAAAATTCATATAAAAGAGATTATAAACTTCAATTCTATACAATAAAATAATACTTATAAATGAAAATAAATTTAGATTTTTTATAATATTTCCAAGTTTCGTTCAAACAAATTGGGTGGATCTCCCATTTGGTATTACTTCGAGTAGAATTCCAATCTTTAGGTTAGTTACAAAGAACCATAAGCTTATATCACATTTCTTTCTGAAGTTATTAATTTTATCACCAGTCCGAGACGTAGGCCCCATAGTGCGACGTCGACCGCAGCAGTGGGTCGCTGAAAAATTTCGTGTCGCCGCGTTTTTCATTAATCAGTTGCATTAAAATGGTGCGCAAGTCCGGTAGAGTTAAAATTTCTAGTCGCGATCGGATCGCCGAAGCCAGCATTCTGATGCGTGGCAAAGTGGGCGGTGGGCAGCGGAATGCAACAGCCATGGTGACTGCGACGGTGACCGAGGCAGCAACACCGGGACGACGTCGGCGCAGACGCGACAGCAGCGCCAGCCGCACAGCCTCAAGCGATGGTCTGTTGTTGTTTTTATTATTTTGTTTGTTGCCATTTTTATTGCGCGATTTTTTCTTGTTGCCATTTTACAATTTTTACGGCACATACCACATAAAAAACGGCATTTGTGTGTGAGCTTGTACAATGGTGCGTATGTGAGATATTAATTGCCAATGCACTTTGGTTTGCGTGTCCAGTGAATGCCAAACCCTTGCGAGGAATTCGAGTAGGCGCATAGGGCTTCTAAAACCCTCATAGTGCGGCACTCCCCGAGGCTCCTAAACTGTTGATCTAAGCATGACAAGCAAAGAATTTTCCACTCTTTGGAAATTCTAAAAGACGCAAAGTAACCGTGACTTTTAGTTTTTTGATAAACAAGTTTATAAGACTTTAAATTTTATAGTCGATATAAAAATTATTAAAAAGAATCCTAGCTAATTAACCAAACAAGTCCCTAAGTAACTAAATAATTTTGTTATTTTTTTTTAGAATCGGAAAGTCATATAATGCATGCCGATGCCCTGGCCTCCGGCTATCCGGCTGCCTCCCAGCCCCACAGTCCCATCGGCCATGCCCTCAGCCCCAACGGCGTCGGCCTGGGACTGAGCAATAGCAGCAACCAGAGCAGCGAGAATTTCGCTCTCTGTAACGGCTCGGCCGGCGGAAACGGAAATGGCAATGCGAGCAGCGTAGGAGGCGGAAGTGCTAGCAGTGGCAGCAACAACAACAACAGCATGTTCTCGCCCAACAACAACCTCAGCGGCAACAGCACCAGCAGCAGTCAGCTGTTACAACAGCAACAACATCAGCAGCTGCAGCAGCAACAGCAATCGCCGACAGTATGTGCGATCTGTGGAGATCGGGCGACAGGCAAGCATTACGGAGCGTCCAGCTGCGATGGCTGCAAAGGGTTCTTCCGGCGGAGTGTGCGAAAAAATCACCAATATACCTGCAGGTTGGTGGTATAGTTGGTTTAGTGGTAACATCTTTAACTGGAGGAACCTTTCTCCTTTTTTTTAGATTTTCCCGCAACTGTGTGGTGGACAAGGATAAGCGGAATCAGTGCCGCTACTGTCGCCTCAGGAAGTGCTTCAAGGCAGGCATGAAGAAGGAGGCAGTTCAGAACGAACGGGACCGCATCAGCTGTCGGCGAACCTCAAACGACGATCCGGACCCCGGCAATGGACTGTCCGTGATCTCGCTGGTGAAGGCGGAGAACGAGTCCCGGCAGTCAAAGGCCGGCGCCGCCATGGAACCAAACATTAATGAGGATCTCTCCACAAAGCAATTTGCCAGCATCAACGATGTCTGCGAGTCGATGAAACAGCAGCTACTGACGCTGGTAGAGTGGGCCAAGCAGATTCCAGCCTTCAACGAGCTCCAGCTGGACGATCAGGTGGCTCTGCTACGCGCCCATGCCGGCGAGCACCTGCTACTTGGCCTGTCCCGTCGCTCGATGCACCTCAAGGACGTCCTCCTGCTGAGCAACAACTGTGTGATTACCAGACACTGTCCAGGTAAGGAACTTGGAATCTTTTCGGAATCTTTCATTACCAAAAACCATTGTTTATATTTTCAGATCCCCTTGTGTCCCCCAATTTGGATATCTCTAGGATCGGAGCCCGCATCATTGACGAATTGGTGGTTGTGATGAAGGATGTGGGCATCGATGACACCGAATTCGCCTGCATAAAGGCCCTGGTCTTCTTCGATCCCAGTGAGTATCCTCTTGGGTTTTGAAATGTACATTTCATTAATGTCTTTACTCTACCATCTATAGATGCCAAGGGCTTAAATGAGCCACATCGCATCAAATCCCTTCGGCATCAAATACTCAACAATCTCGAAGACTATATATCCGATCGGCAGTACGAGTCGCGCGGCCGCTTCGGTGAGATCCTGCTCATCCTGCCGGTTCTGCAGTCCATTACCTGGCAGATGATCGAACAGATTCAGTTTGCCAAGATCTTTGGAGTAGCCCACATCGACTCTCTCCTACAAGAAATGCTATTGGGAGGTAAATTCATTGCAGAATCATGATTCATTTTTTTTATTTTATTAAAATTAAATATTTTAATTGTAGGAGAGTTGGCCGACAACCCGCTGCCTTTGTCGCCGCCCAATCAGTCAAACGATTTCCAGAGCCCCACCCATCACTCGGGAAGCATGGAGAACAACGGACAAGTCAACTCCACCATGGACACACTATCATCGGGTGGGGGCACCGGTTCCCACGCGCTGGATCTGGAAGTGCAACAGATTCAGGCCCTGATTGAGGCAAACACCGCAGAGGATTCTTTCCGAGCTTATACTGCTGCCACGGCGGGAACCGCTGCAGCAGCCTCAAACTCTTCAGCTACGCCCATTGCAGTGGCGCCGGCAGCTATTTCGCCTCCCCTGAACAGTCCCAAGTCACAACAGCCTCAGCAACAGCAACATGTTTCGCACCTGCAACAGCAGCAAGACAGCTCCTACTTGGACGTGGCAGTCAAGCACTACAATGGCAACCGGACGGGAGTAGCTACGACGCAGCACAGTCCACAGCGCATGCATCCCTACCAAAGAGCGGCCGTGTCGCCGGTTGATGTGGCCAACGCTGGAAACGGTTTGGGTCTGCGCAATCCCGCTGACATAACCCTCAACGAATACAACCGCAGCGAGGGCAGTAGTGCCGAGGAGCTGCTGCGGCGCACCCCGCTCAAAATCCGTGCCTCAGAGCTCCTCCCAGCGCCGGCTGGCTATGGAATGGGTAAGTTGTGACTCAATATTTGTAATGTGGGATATTTAATAAAAATGTTTTCTATTCCAGAGCCCTGTCGGATGACTCTGAAGCAGGAACCAGAGACTGGCTACTAACTTGATAAAATATGGTGCAATATTGAGTTTGCAATAGGGCAACATGCCTCAAACACACACACATATACAGGCCTCTCTTGCTGTACCCCCACCAAGTGCTATACAGAGATGAAATATGAAGATAATGAACTTACTTAATTGTTATGCCTTGACCCTTTTTGATACATTTTTTAGTCCTTAAGTAGGTATCATGGAAATTGTTGCTTAATTTTTAAATGTTTAACGCAATTGCAATCTATTTTTGGAGTCATATTTTGTCCAAGAACTATATTATATATATATATATATATATACCTTTATACATATGTATGTATATTGTCTACACCCTAGCATGTACTGAGTTTGTTGGTTATTTGGTTATTATATATCCTTGAGCATGGATCACAAAGCTTTTACATAAATAGGCCATGCAATATATTGTTTTCGGTTAGGGTGTTATCTAGATTATGCGCTGAAAGTGTAAATTATATTTAATGCTAAACAAAGAACTATTTTTATATGAGTATGTATAAAATACAAACTATTTTAAGATGGCTGAATGAATAAATGCAAAAGTAAGAATATAAAACTATCGGAGAGAGTAATAAAAAAATTATGTAATTGATATGCATTGTTTTTTTTTTTTTTTAAACGGGGGAAGTATCTTTTGATTTCCAATCAAAAAGACCAGACCATATAACAGTATAAAAAGGCTACGTAACGTTTATTTATCAATATTGCTAATGCCCGTCTTCTCCACCTGAGCGAGCAGCTCTTGCAGCTTATTGTCAAAGAGCTCGCACCGGATGGGCATTTCCAGGGAGTAAAATGGATTCTTGAGGACGTAGTCAGAGTAAAGCTCGTACACCTTTCGCAAAAGCAGGTCTATGCCGTTCAGGCCCGTCTCTGAAATCACAATGAACTTGATACCGGTGAGTGTCTGGAAGCAGTGCAGCGTGAAGGTGTCCGCTTCGAGCAGCTCGATTCCGGAGCTGCGGGGTTCCGGACTAAGCTGACTCGCGATGGCAAAGAGCGGATAGAACATGCTGGCTAGAAATATCTTCTCATTGGTGGTCATCTTTGGCCGACTGAACTTAAGATTGATAGGATAGTTTTCCGCCGACTCCAGAGTCGCTTTCACGTCCCGACCATCATCGATGGTGACTCCATTGACGGCTATGCCGTTAACAGCCACCAGAACGTGGCCCACTGAAACGGGAATTATAGATTAGACTATTGTATTATTATATTAAGAACACCCACCGTTTATTCCATCCTTTCTGTTAAACGCCACTGAGACCTTTTTGGAATCATAGTCCAACACCAAGTCCAGTGGGTATGTGAAGGTCTTCTCGTGCTCTATGCGTGGCACATTATTGTCCAGGTTAAATATGAGGCCACCCGATTTGCTGACTATATAGACGCCATAGATAATCATGGCTTAAAGCTGTTTTTCTATGTTTTCGGAATGTTTTCTTTTTAGGGAATTAGAGATGATAAATGATAAGACTATTCGCTCATTTTCCAACACTATTAGTCGATAAATAGATTTTATTTTAATAATACTTAAATAATATTTATGTTTAATCTAAATACATGCAGACAAAATTGTTTTGTAAGAATTATTTTTATTAAATTAGTACAAGTTTTAAATATAGCTAATTTTTCTGAATCTAACTCCAGTGGCTATCGAAATAACTGGTTCGATAACACAGTCATTTGTGACCCAGCAAAAGTGCAATCGAATCGTTAGAAAAACAGCTGATGGCGCACAGTAGAATTAAAAATAAACATAATTGATTTTTTGCCCAAAAATATACATTGAAGCGTGGGCGCTTTTACCTGGTTGTGCTGCTGATTGACTGACATCTAGATTCTACAGACAACTATGGGCTCCGATGACCAGAGTGCCGGCGACCGGATCCACAAGGGATTCCAGATAAATTATATGATCTTGCGAGACGCCGACAGCGGAAAGGTCATATGGCAGGAAAACAAGGATTTCTCGGCTCCAGACGTGGAGCATGAGGCACGTGTGCCAGTGAAGATCCTGGACATGCGGGCGGTGTCGCGTGAAATAAATTTTAGTACCATTGAGTCGATGGAGAACTTCCGACTTGACCAGAAGGTGCTCTTTAAGGGCCGCATCATGGAGGAGTGGTTCTTCGAGATGGGCTTCGTGGGAGCAAACACCACCAACACCTGGCAGTCGACCATCGAAGCGGCTCCCGAGTCGCAGATGATGCCCGCTAAAGTATTAAATGGTAACGTGACGATCCAAACCAGTTTCTACGACAACGAGACACTCATCACCAAATCGGTTGTGCGCTTGTACTACATCTAATAAATCGGCTGAATCACCTGTCCACTCCCACGCACCTGGTGGATCTTCTAACAATCGAATGTTGTGGACATTCTCATCCTAGAAACACTGTGGCCGCTAGGGTAGTTCGCTTTGGAATAATTCAGCATTTCAATGCAATTGTTAGTGCGTTTATGAACTAGTTATAGTCGAATGCATTTTAATCTAATTTTACACAACGCCTACTGTATGTATTTATTAATAAACAACTAACGAATTAACATCAAAATCATGATTTATAAAATGGGAATCCATGCCATGCAATTGTACAAAATCTGTATGCAAAAATCAGAAAGTTTTTTAAAATTGATATACAACTAGCAGTAGCTCTACAGAATTTGAGAAAAATGTTTCTATGGATCTCATAACAGGAAATACTTAAATGTTAAGGTGTGAAGCAAATATATTGTATTCTATTGATTGGGTTTCTATATCTGGTTTCGTCTACCACAAAATCATTAAAATATTATGTTCAAAGTAAAACTTATATTTGTTTCCAACGGTAATATATATCTCATTGAATATAAATAGATTCTTGCAAGAATTTCTATACATTGTTTCAGTTTTTCAGCTTCAAAGGTAGCAAATTTCAGAGAGAAATGATATTTTAAAGTCTTAATAATATTTTAAGATATTTCCAAATATTTTAAAGAAAACACCAGTTAGAACAGGTTGTGTATGGCCCTCTTTTACTTTCAAGAAAAGATAAATCTCATCCAGATGGCGGGCTTGCCTTTCGGCTATATCGCTCATAAGTTCGCATTTAGATTGGTATCGTTGAATATTCATTGATTGGAATCGCGAAAAGACGCCATGATCGAGATGCTCTTAGCATTGCTAGTGCTGACTTGACCCCATTTAAGCAGAAATAGATCCCGTGGCCGGTCAAGAGTCACTCGAAGCTGCCGAGAAAGTTTTCTTAATAGGCTGAGATCTGATGTAGCCAACAGTTCGATTCCATCAACGCAGACGACAACATCGTCTTAAGGAACATAAATAATGGCAAGGTTTTCTGGAGTTTTAGTGCTCCTGGCAATCGTCCTGCTGGTCCTGTTTGTGGCCAGCAGCGAGGCTGAGAGGAATAATCAGAACAAGCAGAAGCAGCAGAGACCGCGGCCAGGAGCCCAGGGCATTGGCAACCAAAAGAATAAGCGCAACAAGCCAATGCAGGGCCAGAAACAAAAGCCCAACAAACAAAAACAGCAACAAGCCGTCCAAGAACCCAAAGTCTTTACCACATCGGTTCCAGATTTGGGAAAGTTGAGAGGCCGTACCCTCATAACCGATTGGTCGGGCAAGAAGATAAAGCAGTTCCTCGACATCCCCTATGGAAAGGCAGAGCGATTCAAGGTGAGTTAGCTCTTGTTTAAAAACTAGCGCCGGTCTGTCACCGTCCTCGATAGTATAGTGGTTAGTATCCCCGCCTGTCACGCGGGAGACCGGGGTTCAATTCCCCGTCGGGGAGATGTTGATTATTTTTTTTATTTTATTCTATTTTTTTTTTTGTTAAATTTGTATTTAAAGTTTCGTTTTCATATTTAAAAGTATTGAACCAAATTTTACTGAAAAATTTTGATAAATTTTAACGTAAAAAAACGAAAGGAATTTCATAAAAATGTTGGAAACCCTGCATTCAGCGGCATAATATATTTTTTCTTTTTTACGTCAAAGGAACATATTTTAAAGGATAGAAAAATAATTTAGATTAAATAATTTAAATAAAATTAAACAAAATAAATATGTAAAAAAAATAGAACGTTTACACATTCTCCCCGACGGGGAATTGAACCCCGGTCTCCCGCGTGACAGGCGGGGATACTAACCACTATACTATCGAGGATGTTGACAGTCGTGGGCCAAAAGCCAAATAGGAAGGAACTATCACTGAAGTCTATTAAATAGACAGTAAACTGAAATAATTTTTATTTTACTTCTTTTATGTTATTTAAAAAAATCTTTTATCTAACAGAAAGCTGAGCCCGCAGCTGCTTGGAGGGGTGTTTTGCCCGCTCACCGTCCCCATGCGGGATGTCCTTCAATTCAGGATATGCTTCTGTTCGCTAAGCTAGAGGAGGACGGCTATGATGTAGAGGACTGTTTGCGACTCACAGTAAACACTAAGGCTGTAAGTTTTAAGATTTAAATTTTTTTTTAAATGACAAACCTATTTAAGATGAGTTTCCTTTGCAGATGGAGGGAAGGTTGCAACCCGTAATGGTTTACATCCACGGCGACTTCTTCTATGATGGCGATTCAATGGAGGCGGCTCCTGGCTATTTGCTGGAGGAGGATGTGGTGCTTGTGTCCGTGCGCTACCGTCTGGGACCCTTCGGTTTCCTATCTACTCTCTCAGAGGACATGCCCGGCAACGCTGCGGTGACCGATATCATTCTGGCACTTAAGTGGATACAGAAGAACATTGCCTCCTTTGGAGGAGATCCAAACCGTGTGACGCTCTTCGGCCAGGTGGGCGGAGCTGCCCTGGTTAACGTCCTGACCCTGAGCCCGGCTGTGCCATCTGGACTTTTCCACCGCGTGATCTACCAGTCTGGTACAGCTTTGTCGCCCGCCTTCATCACAGATTCTCCTCTGGGTGCCACCAAGGCGATTGGGCGCATTGCCGGGTGCAAACAGCTCGCCAAGGTGGACCAGCTTAACAAGTGTCTGAGCCGCCTCAACGCTACTATGCTACTGGCCGCCTTCAGTGTCCACGGCGAGGATCAGCCCTCCTTGTCCGGCGGAGCGTATGGTGGAGTGCAGTTGGTAATCGGCGGACCCTCTGGTGTGTTGCCGGAGCATCCGGGTCGTCTGTTGGCTGCCGAAAAGTTCCATGCTTATCCCGCAATGGGAGGCAGTGTGAAGCACGGTGGTACTTTCATGATGAGGGGTATGTTTTTAAATTTTGTAATAAATAAGTACCTAAATAATCGTAATTTACAGACATATTTGCGGACATATTCAACGAAACGATAATGGACGATCAGATGACAGGACAGCAGTACATTGAAGCTATTATTGAACAGGCCAACGGTGCGGATCCCACGGGGTCCTGGAAAGAGTTTGCCGGAGAGGAGATTTTTACGCATGCCGATACCAAGAATGGCAGCTTTAAGCGCCTTACACCGGGACTTATCGATGTAAGTGGCAAGAAAACCTTCCCCAAACCCTCATTTTTAAATACTCTTCTATCCTGCAGCTGTGCAGCACCATTTCGCTAAAGAACCCAGTGTTGCTGGTTATGCAGGCTAATGCCAAGAAGCTACCCAACAGCACTTTCCTCTACAGCTTTGACTATGAGGGCGAACAGAACCGGTACGCCACAAGTGATAATGAGGCTAGCTTTGTGCCCTTCGATATGGGCGTCTCTCTGACGGACGACAACCTATACCTGTTCCCGTGGCCCAGGTTCCTCGCTCTGAACTCGCATCGGGACATTAAGGTGGCGCGGCGCATGGTGGCTCTATGGACCTCCTTTGCAGCCACGGGTGTTCCAAAAGCCCCAGGTGTACCCAGCTGGCCGTCAATGAGCGACGAGACTGGCCCCTATATGCGCATCGGCCGCACTGTCACCTTCGGCGACAACTATCTGGATGAGTACCGCATCGCTGTCGAGGAAACGAAGCATGGCTACAGCCTGGTCAACGAGGAATACTATGAACTGGAAGCCGCCCTTCTAGCGGCCAGCAAAGAAACTTCCTCGTCCTCTGAGAACCAGGATGAGGATACTGACGACGATTTTGGGTCGGAAAACGGTGAAAGAGCGGCACACGAGGCCCGGGGCCAGAACCTTGTCTTTATTGCCAGGAAGTCAACACGCACGCAGAAACAGTAAAAATCAATCTATTTACCTCATACTGATTAACTATTATTACCATTAAAAAAAATCTTCCCAAATAATAAATTTTTTACATTATTTGTAAAATAAATCGAGTATTCTTTCATATTAACTTTAGTAAAATTTAAGTCTGCTTATTTTTTCAAATACAAATACAAAATATTTTTCATGGAGTAAACTGCAATGGGGTAACTGGAATGGCTAGGCCATAGGCAAAATGGGGAAAACAGGGGGCAAAAAGTTGTTGACGATGCCAACAACACGCGGTGTTCCCAAGCGGTCCCCCATCTAAGTACTAACCGCGCCCGACGCTGCTTAATTTCGGTGATCGGACGAGAACCGATGTATTCAGCGTGGTATGGTCGTTGGCGAAAGCCGCAGGGTTAATCTATAGCTTTATATTTTGTTTGAACGCCTAACCTGTGTGTTATTTGGGACTGCCAAGATACGCAGGAGTATCTGAAAGATGCCTAAGGGCTTCCACAAAGCGCCAGCCAGAATGAAAATGAATTTCCCGTAAAGGTTTGACCCTACAGGGGATTCCAGGTGTATCTAAAAGATGTATGAGCCGTGGGGGAGGTGCAGATGGGTAAAATAATAAAAATAAATAAATAAAATAAATTAAAACATATTTTTCATGGAGTAAACTGCAATGGGGTAACTGGAATGGCTAGGCCATAGGCAAAATGGGGAAAACAGGGGGCAAAAAGTTGTTGACGATGCCAACAACACGCGGTGTTCCCAAGCGGTCCCCCATCTAAGTACTAACCGCGCCCGACGCTGCTTAATTTCGGTGATCGGACGAGAACCGATGTATTCAGCGTGGTATGGTCGTTGGCGAAAGTCGCAGGGTTAATCTATAGGTTTATATTTTCGTTGAACGCCTAACCTGTGTGTAGTTTGGGGCTGCCAAGATACGCAGGAGTATCTGAAAGATGCCTAAGGGCTTCCACAAAGCGCCAGCCAGAATGAAAATGAATTTCCCGTAAAGGTTTGACCCTACAGGGGATTCCAGGTGTATCTAAAAGATGTATGGGCCGTGGGGGGAGGTGCAGATGGGTAAAATAATAAAAATAAATAAATAAAATAAAATAAAACATATTTTTCATGGAGTAAACTGCAATGGGGTAACTGGAATGGCTAGGCCTTAGGCAAAATGGGGAAAACAGGGGGCAAAAAGTTGTTGACGATGCCAACAACACGCGGTGTTCCCAAGCGGTCCCCCATCTAAGTACTAACCGCGCCCGACGCTGCTTAATTTCGGTGATCGGACGAGAACCGATGTATTCAGCGTGGTATGGTCGTTGGCGAAAGTCGCAGGGTTAATCTATAGCTTTATATTTTGGTTGAACGCCTAACCTGTGTGTTATTTGGGGCTGCCAAGATACGCAGGAGTATCTGAAAGATGCCTAGGGGCTTCCACAAAGCGCCAGCCAGAATGAAAATGAATTTCGTAAAGGTTTGACGTAAAGGTTTGACCCTACAGGGGATTCCAGGTGTATCTAAAAGATGTATGAGCCGTGGGGGAAGGTGCAGATGGGTAAAATAATAAAAATAAATAAATAAAATAAAATAAAACATATTTTTCATGGAGTAAACTGCAATGGGGTAACTGGAATGGCTAGGCCATAGGCAAAATGGGGAAAACAGGGGGCAAAAAGTTGTTGACGATGCCAACAACACGCGGTGTTCCCAAGCGGTCCCCCATCTAAGTACTAACCGCGCCCGACGCTGCTTAATTTCGGTGATCGGACGAGAACCGATGTATTCAGCGTGGTATGGTCGTTGGCGGAAGTCGCAGGGTTAATCTATAGCTTTATATTTTGGTTGAACGCCTAACCTGTGTGTTATTTGGGGCTGCCAAGATACGCAGGAGTATCTGAAAGATGCCTAAGGGCTTCCACAAAGCGCCAGCCAGAATGAAAATGAATTTCCCGTAAAGGTTTGACCCTACTGGGGATTCCAGGTGTATCTAAAAGATGTATGAGCCGTGGGGGGAGGTGCAGATGGGTAAAATAATAAAAATAAATAAATAAAATAAAATAAAACAAATTTTTCATGGAGTAAACTGCAATGGGGTAACTGGAATGGCTAGGCCATAGGCAAAATGGGGAAAACAGGGGGCAAAAAGTTGTTGACGATGCCAACAACACGCGGTGTTCCCAAGCGGTCCCCCATCTAAGTACTAACCGCGCCCGACGCTGCTTAATTTCGGTGATCGGACGAGAACCGATGTATTCAGCGTGGTATGGTCGTTGGCGGAAGTCGCAGGGTTAATCTATAGCTTTATATTTTGGTTGAACGCCTAACCTGTGGTTATTTGGGGCTGCCAAGATACGCAGAAGTATCTGAAAGATGCCTAAGGGGCTTCCACAAAGCGCCAGCCAGAATGAAAATGAATTTCCCGTAAAGGTTTGACCCTACTGGGGATTCCAGGTGTATCTAAAAGATGTATGAGCCGTGGGGGGAGGTGCAGATGGGTAAAATAATAAAAATAAATAAATAAAATAAATTAAAACAAATTTTTCATGGAGTAAACTGCAATGGGGTAACTGGAATGGCTAGGCCTTAGGCAAAATGGGGAAAACAGGGGGCAAAAAGTTGTTGACGATGCCAACAACACGCGGTGTTCCCAAGCGGTCCCCCATCTAAGTACTAACCGCGCCCGACGCTGCTTAATTTCGGTGATCGGACGAGAACCGATGTATTCAGCGTGGTATGGTCGTTGGCGAAAGTCGCAGGGTTAATCTATAGCTTTATATTTTGGTTGAACGCCTAACCTGTGTGTTATTTTGGGCTGCCAAGATACGCAGGAGTATCTGAAAGATGCCTAAGGGCTTCCACAAAGCGCCAGCCAGAATGAAAATGAATTTCCCGTAAAGGTTTGACCCTACTGGGGATTCCAGGTGTATCTAAAAGATGTATGAGCCGTGGGGGGAGGTGCAGATGGGTAAAATAATAAAAATAAATAAATAAAATAAATTAAAACAAATTTTTCATGGAGTAAACTGCAATGGGGTAACTGGAATGGCTAGGCCTTAGGCAAAATGGGGAAAACAGGGGGCAAAAAGTTGTTGACGATGCCAACAACACGCGGTGTTCCCAAGCGGTCCCCCATCTAAGTACTAACCGCGCCCGACGCTGCTTAATTTCGGTGATCGGACGAGAACCGATGTATTCAGCGTGGTATGGTCGTTGGCGAAAGTCGCAGGGTTAATCTATAGCTTTATATTTTGGTTGAACGCCTAACCTGTGGTTATTTGGGGCTGCCAAGATACGCAGAAGTATCTGAAAGATGCCTAAGGGCTTCCACAAAGCGCCAGCCAGAATGAAAATGAATTTCCCGTAAAGGTTTGACCCTACAGGGGATTCCAGGTGTATCTAAAAGATGTATGGGCCGTGGGGGGAGGTGCAGATGGGTAAAATAATAAAAATAAATAAATAAAATAAAATAAAACATATTTTTCATGGAGTAAACTGCAATGGGGTAACTGGAATGGCTAGGCCATAGGCAAAATGGGGAAAACAGGGGGCAAAAAGTTGTTGACGATGCCAACAACACGCGGTGTTCCCAAGCGGTCCCCCATCTAAGTACTAACCGCGCCCGACGCTGCTTAATTTCGGTGATCGGACGAGAACCGATGTATTCAGCGTGGTATGGTCGTTGGCGAAAGTCGCAGGGTTAATCTATAGCTTTATATTTTGGTTGAACGCCTAACCTGTGGTTATTTGGGGCTGCCAAGATACGCAGAAGTATCTGAAAGATGCCTAAGGGCTTCCACAAAGCGCCAGCCAGAATGAAAATGAATTTCCCGTAAAGGTTTGACCCTACAGGGGATTCCAGGTGTATCTAAAAGATGTATGGGCCGTGGGGGGAGGTGCAGATGGGTAAAATAATAAAAATAAATAAATAAAATAAAATAAAACATATTTTTCATGGAGTAAACTGCAATGGGGTAACTGGAATGGCTAGGCCATAGGCAAAATGGGGAAAACAGGGGGCAAAAAGAAAGTTGTTGACGATGCCAACAACACGCGGTGTTCCCAAGCGGTCCCCCATCTAAGTACTAACCGCGCCCGACGCTGCTTAATTTCGGTGATCGGACGAGAACCGATGTATTCAGCGTGGTATGGTCGTTGGCGAAAGTCGCAGGGTTAATCTATAGCTTTATATTTTGGTTGAACGCCTAACCTGTGTGTTATTTGGGGCTGCCAAGATACGCAGGAAGTATCTGAAAGATGCCTAAGGGCTTCCACAAAGCGCCAGCCAGAATGAAAATGAATTTCCCGTAAAGGTTTGACCCTACTGGGGATTCCAGGTGTATCTAAAAGATGTATGAGCCGTGGGGGAGGTGCAGATGGGTAAAATAATAAAAATAAATAAATAAAATAAAATAAAACATATTTTTCATGGAGTAAACTGCAATGGGGTAACTGGAATGGCTAGGCCATAGGCAAAATGGGGAAAACAGGGGGCAAAAAGAAAGTTGTTGACGATGCCAACAACACGCGGTGTTCCCAAGCGGTCCCCCATCTAAGTACTAACCGCGCCCGACGCTGCTTAATTTCGGTGATCGGACGAGAACCGATGTATTCAGCGTGGTATGGTCGTTGGCGAAAGTCGCAGGGTTAATCTATAGCTTTATATTTTGGTTGAACGCCTAACCTGTGTGTTATTTGGGGCTGCCAAGATACGCAGAAGTATCTGAAAGATGCCTAAGGGCTTCAACAAGGCGCCAGCCAGAATGAAAATGAATTTCCCGTAAAGGTTTGACCCTACAGGGGATTCCAGGTGTATCTAAAAGATGTATGGGCCGTGGGGGGAGGTGCAGATGGGTAAAATAATAAAAATAAATAAATAAAATAAAATAAAACATATTTTTCATGGAGTAAACTGCAATGGGGTAACTGGAATGGCTAGGCCGTAGGCAAAATGGGGAAAACAGGGGGCAAAAAGTTGTTGACGATGCCAACAACACGCGGTGTTCCCAAGCGGT